AGTAGAACTGTTTAAAACTTGACAATTTTCTTAAAAGTAGTTGTTCACAGAAGTAAAGCACTGGAGCAAAGGAAATTATTGGGATGGTAGGGAAAATGTTGTCGCTTGTGGGAACAAGTAGCCCTCAATTCCCTGAACTCTAGATGGAGTGCAGAGGAAGGAAATTCCTAGACTTGCACGAAATATTAACCTCTAGCTGCTTCAAAGTGGTTTTTTGGGTTTTGTTCTGTGTAAAGAAACCCTTAAAACTAAAGATATGTTCTGCATCAGCATACCAAAATATTTAGACGTACAGCAGAGAAGCGTCTGTCCACTGTATGTGAAAATGTTTGCCAAGTATTGATTTGGCGTCCATCTCTGTTATTCTTTAACTTTAGTTCAAAGTTTGCCTTTTGTTTAAAAACTGATTTCACAGGGAGGTCATGTCCTCTAGCTAATCCAGTAGTGATAGAGGTCTGTAGAATGAAAATTGAGTTTACCACAACTTGGAGGAAAGCTCTGAGTCCATACAGAAAACCTCTATGGCATAGAGATGTGTACATATCCACAAACACAGCAGTACATAGTGAGCCTGAAAAAGTGACAAAATGGAGCAAGTAATTAGTCCAAATTAGCAGAACAAGCAGAAGTCCTAGGTTTGTCCCACCTGTTTCTGCACATAGGCAGCAAAAATTAAGTTGTGTTTATAACTTGTGCAACTGCATCTGTGCTAGCTTAAGCTGGCAAGGTTAGATGGTAAAAACTGGAAACCAGACTACAAATGTTATGTTCATATCTTTGCACATGTTACCATGACTTTGCTACCTGAGTTACTTGCACTAGTTTGAGGCAGCAGTTATTGCTCACTTTGCTGTGTAAATGTGCGTTACAGCTAAATTTTTTGTTAGCTGAGAGCGAGTGCATGCAGCACTCCACGAGATCAACCTCACCATATTCAAGTCATAGAGCCATAGACTCAGAGAATGGTTTGGGTTGGAAGTGACCTTAAAGATCGTCTAGTCCATCCCCCCCTGCCATGGGCAAGGACACCTTCCACTAGACCAGGTTGCTCAAAGCCTCATCCAACCTGGCCTTGAACACTTCCAGGGATGAGGCATCCACAACTTCCCTGGGCAACTTGTTCCAGTGCCTCACCACCCTCATAGTGAAGAGTTCTTCCTTATGTCCAATCTAAACCTGCCCTCTTTTGGTTTAAAACTGTTGCCCCTTGTCCTGTCACTACAGACCCTGGTAAAAAGTCTCTCTTCATCTTTCTTGTAAGACCCCTTTATATATTGAAGGGCTGCAATAAGGTCTGCCTGGAGCCTTCTCTTCTCCAGGCTGAACCCCAGCTCTCTCAGCCTTTCTTCATAGGAGAGGTGTTCCAGTCCTTAGATCATTTTTGTGGCCCTTCTCTGGACCTGCTTTAACAGGTCCAGGTCTGTCTTGGGCTGGGGACCCCAGAACTGGACGCAGTGCTCCAGATGGGGTCTTATGAGAGCGGAGCAGAGGGGGAGAATCAACTCCTTTGACCAAAGGATAATTTCAATTTTATCAAGTCCAAGCATCTAAAAGCTAGGCAAAAATTAAATTTAAACTTGCATGGTTAACCCGATTGCTCTCCCTGTGAATTGGGAATCATTCCCTATTTTGTATTCCCAAAGTCTTATTTCTGGGACCTAACTCAGAAACCAGGCTTCCTTGGCTTCAACAAAGTCAATGCAATTGACTGAACAGCCACCACACATCATCCAATAATTTCTTTTCAAAGTCGTCAGCTTCCTGAATGTCCAGACCTGCAAACCTACCACGTGTCCATCTCCTGTTCAAGTATTGGTAACTATCAGATCTCAGTGAGAGCTAGATACTTGCATACCCTGGTGGATCTGGACTTAGCCAGTAGAAAATCCAGTTACTAGTAATGTGGCTATTGCCTTCCTCTTTGCTTTTGTAGTATAACTTGCTGGAGATGGTAGCTGTTTCAACCAGCTTCTAGGTTATTAGCAAAAACATTGTGGCAAATTATTATAACACTTAAAAATTTGAAAATACTTGAATTTGAAAAAATGAGCTACAGGCATAAAACTTTAAAGTGGTTGCATTGTTATACACTACTGATAGAGAATTCTTAAAGAGCGGAAAATGCACTGAAATTTAAAGTAAAAAACTTGTATTAATAAGGTTGAGATATGACAGGGTAAAAGAATAGATTTATAATGGATATATCTTAAGTTTATATTGTATTGCACTTTAAACTTAAGAGTAATCTATCAAGCTAATGAAACACCCATAGCAAATGGCAGAAAATAAGTTGGGTGGAAATAGCAGATGCATTTGAGCAAGAAAAAATTTACTTTGAACAAGGTTCTCAATCAAAAGCTGGGGAAAATAGTAAATGGTAATCATCAAGAGATTATTTATCTTTGTGATCCTTGTATTTGAGATATTAGAAACAGGAGCATTTCCTGTTGGGTTGCCATAGCAAACTCTGGGTGCCTTTCTCATGATAGTATTATGTAGGAATGTAAATGATAGTGGGTTTTATGTAAAGTCAACCTTGGAATGAAAGAAAAGCATGAAGTTCAGCTTGGCATTCAGTTGGATTTAAAACACTGAAGATTGCTGAAGCAGAGAAGAGGTTGGCTTTGAGAAGAGGGTAAGGGCCAGATTTTTTTTAAAGGCATTTATTTCAGCCTTTTGTGATTGCCAGTAGGTTTTCAATGCCCAAATACTCATTCAATGTAATTATAACTAAGTCTTCAACAATAACTGTAATTCTCACATGCATAATTGCTCTACTGTGTTATCCCTACCTAATTAATGTCCTAATATACCTAATGAATTTTGGGGCATTAGCATATACTAGTTGCAAGGTTTATCTGCCCTGCCATTCTGCAGAGCAGGTGAAGTGTAGCCAAGCATGAGGTGCAAAGAGTTAATGCTATAGTGGCAGTGGGTGCCTGATGCTGTCTTTGGCACTCCTGTGTCCTTTTTTCTCTAGCTACACCCTGGAAGTTGTTTTGCACCAGAATCGCAGTAGGCAATTCTAAATGTTACCAGAAGTTCTTTGCCAGCCTGCAGAGTTGATGGACTTGTTGTTCAGGCTGTTGCCAGTGATTTAAGTGTGACTGTACTTCCTGTCGGTTTTATCTTCCCTTGGCTGGGTCCTGAACCACTGCTAGGACGAGTTTTCATGTGAGGGAACCAGAGGCCGTTTGCATCAGGCTTTCTTGCCGTGGGCCTATAGTCAACCCTCATTTGCGAGACATTGTGTGAGGCACAGGTGAGTCTAAGAGCCTGTGTTGACATCCACATCAGTTTGTAGGAAGTGTTGCTCTGACAGCCTTCCAGTTTGGGAGCCATGGCAAGCGAAGGAAACCAGAGACCTCTGGACTATATACCCAGACATAGCAAGCAGGGTAGAGCTGTCAAAGGAACACAAGGATGAATGTGTATTAGAGAAAAGATAAGAGGTGTCAGGTTCAAAACAAAGGGAGATACTCCTTCACGCTAAAAATTGTCATGGACATTGTGCTCAAGCAGCTATAGATACTAGAATTTCCCATGACACCAGAAACTATTTATTTAAAAAAATATAGAAATTTTATGGCTATTTATGTGGAAAGAAAAAGAAGCCATCACCACTGTAGCAGGTCCTTGAGCTGCATGTCACTCATGTTTGAAAGTGCATTTGCTGGAAGCACTACTATTTGCCCTACTCTTAAGCTGTTTTGGCAGAATCTGCAAATCAGGTGCTTGTCCAGCTGGACCTTTAATTTGAGCTGGTATGGTTGTTTTTATTAATGACAGTAAGCTTAAAAAAGAAGAGGAATTAATTTGGGTAGTGTACGATTTTTCCCTTGTCAGGAGTAGGAAATGTCAGGGTAGGAAGCAACCAAGTTTCAGGGCTGGAAATGCAAATGTATTCACTGCTAATATAGTTACTGCAGCGTCTCCTATGGGTGGCTACAGAGTAGTGTTGATATATTGATTTTGGGATTTGAATATATTGACATGTTTGGTTTTTTTGATTGTTTCCTTGTTTCTTCAAGGGCAACAAAACCTTACTAGCCATATACAAACAGCACATAGTAAGGATTTGCACAGACATTCTTTAACTTAGAACACTACCTTGCCAAAATTTATTTTTCATTTCCAATTAGAAACACAAATGGAATTGCTGTTGGTTTTTTTTGTTTTTGAAACCTACTGGATGTAACTACGCCAAAACATTAATACACATGTAGGTATTGCTGGAAGCGATGTATGTGGAGGTGTTTTTTGTTTGTTTTTAAACTTTTGTTGTAAAGAGTTCTGGCTAATTGTATGTTTCAGCATTACACAGAGTTTGTCATTTCACAGTACAAAGATGTTTGCTCATGTAAAGGAGTACATTAACAATTCAGCTGAGTTAGTTCCAGCACAAGGGAGGCTGCAATATTAGCTGATAAAATTGACTTTGAAGCATGTTGCCTGGCTGCTCTAGCTTAGGAAGAGGTGGCGGCTTGAAGAAAGGGGAGGAGATGGGCAGCCCTTTCAGAAGCCAGTGCCCAAGAGAGGAAAATACAGATAGGCACAAATAAAGTTTATACAAAGTAAATTAGTTGCTGCTCTGGGGTGTTCATACAGCTGGACAGTAAAGAGACTGGTGTGTTAATAAAGCAGACTAAGTCATGGTGCAATTGCAAGTTGAGATGATGTACCACAACATCACACAGATGCACAAAAATAACTCGGTTGCAAAGCTTAATAGGCCAAGTTGTTTAGGGGTTTAGTGTCTTTAGGAAGTCATATGGCAGCATTAGTGAGCTCCTAGTAACTTGATTCACAACAGGTATTCACATCGGTTGATAAGTTGAACAGTGTTTCTGATGGTAGGTGATGTTTCTGGGTCGTGTTAAGAGGTTTCTTTTTTGCCTAGTCGCCTCGGCCGCCCTTGTTCCTCTTCCAGTTCCGGGACTCCTGTTCACTTAGTGGATGGTGGGGGGGGTGCGTGGAGGTGTGCTTTTTTTTTTCCCCCCCTTCCTTTTTTTCTTTTCTTCAGCAAATTGCAGCTGAAGGTAGCTGCAAGAGTATGCTACATGACCCTTGGTGTGTAGTAGTCCAAGTCAGATCAATGCTGAATGTAGGCTGTGCTTCATGTGAAGCTCAAAAGCCAGGAGACAATTTGATACATAGTGATTCTATATTTAAGACTAACAGATAATTTAGTCCATCTGCAACACTCTCAAGCACTGATATTAGCTGAGGAGGAATGTACTGTATTCCTAAAGTGAGCTGTTAAGTCAGAAATATAACGTGGTGTTTTTGTTGGGGTTTTTTTGGTTAGGTTTGGGTTTTTTTTTGTGTGTGTGTGTTTGCTTTTGTTGTTGTTGGGTTTTTTGTGTGTTTTAAGTTAGGCATTCACACTGATTAACAGAAAAGGCAACATTAGTTCCATTGCTGTTAATAAGAAGTTGTTCTTAGTACTACAACATCAGAACTCTAACACTGAAAATCAGGACAAATTTACTGACGTGTAGACTTGCATTGTTAAACTGAACTTTTGTCGAATTTGGTGCAAGTAGGGTATTTTGTTTGTAGCACATACATTATTGTGGGCTGTGGAAAATTCTGTAAACATAGAATATATGCAATAAAAATGATAGAACATTCACACTTATTTCAGATACGGCTTAAACAGGAAAAGTTTGTAAGCGTGCTGCTTCGTATGGTCACTGCAGAATTGGATAATTAAAGAACAGAACTTCTCATGGAAGTCTGGAGTATTACAGTTCTTGTATTAGAAATGATAACGGAACAGAGGAGATACCAATAAGAAGTTGGGAGAGGTGCAATTTTTGTATTTTATCTAGTGACAGTTCTTTAGAGAACAGTGCATAATCACTAACCTTAGATTAATTGTTCAGATCCTTATAGAGAAAAGTTATCTTGGATCATGCCTTCTGTGCACCAGTGACCAGTATCCACTGTAAACTTTTCTTAGGGATACATTCTTATTCAGCTGAAAACATTATACACATTACTTTTTGATGAACGCAGTGAGGATCCTGGGGAAAAACTTGGGAGCTGCTTTTACAGAAGCTGAAATATGTGGGTGGTGTGTTTAACCACTTGAAAATCATTTGGGTGCAGATGTGACTTACATATAGGCTCCCCCAACCACATCCCAGGTTGTGAAAGCCTTCCTGCAAATTGTGACCTTACGGCATTTTTTTTTTTTAACAAAACAAAACAAAGCTCCGGTTAGACAAAAAATATATTTGAAGTATAAAATGCTGTAGCTTCCATAATTCTTTATTAAATATTTAATTAAGTTGCATCATTTCATTACAACAACTTCGTTTTGTCACATTGAGCTTTTGCTGTCAGGAAAACAAACTACAATTTCTTTCACTGCTCCTCAGAAAATAAATGGAAAAAATGACTTTTGTCCATAAACAAATCATTTCCCCACAGTGTATCAAATCCAACCACAGTTTAAAGCTGTATTAATTATGAAAATGAGCATTATTTATAAGCAGTACTTTTAAAATCAATTTTAAGGTAGTTTAGCATAATTTTGAATAGCCTTCTAGTATGAGGTGATTTTACAAAAAAAAATTATTAAACAGTGTGAATTTAATCTGGAATGTTTGACACTTTTGCATGTTTGGCAATATTAATAATCTCAGTTTTCATCATTTTCTGGAGTTTTCCATTTGGGTTTTGAGAATTGTAACCTATTCGCTACTGCATGATTGTGACAAATCTGCAGTGGAGACAGGCGGCTCACGAGCCTCTTTAAATCCAATAGAATGGGTTGAAGTACAAAAATGCAACATATGTACTATTGTAGCGGATGTATACTGTTTATATTTTTACAGCTACACATTAAAAAATTAAGAGGAGGGGGAAAAAAAAGCAAGGTCTAAGAAATTAATATAGAAAAGGAAAAAACCCCAACATGTAAGTGGAGGATAAATGTGGACAAACAGATCATCAGAAGTGTGCATCGATAGACATATGACTAAATATGGTTTGCATTGGTGGTATCTAATAGGGTTCTAGGTGCACTGTGACAGACCTGATGAGTATGTAACATTAATATGGTTAGATTCCAGTTTTATAAGTTTCCTGTGCATTTCAAATACGCATTACTTCTTAGTGCAACATCATAACACATGGGTGAAGACTGTAGGGTTTTTTCTTTGTTGTTGTAATTTTACATACAAAAGGAAAAGTTTTTAGTAAAAACATAAGAAAATTAATGTAATTTTAAGATGTCAAATCTGGAAATCTATGGTTTTTTCTACTATATATACTGATAATTAGCCTTCGCAATCACATGGGTACGATCACTTATTTTTAACTCTTAGAAGTGCAGTCTAACTATCCAGCTTCTGCTCCCTTGTTTTCACAATTCTCGGCCCTTTAGTGTCATATAAAATGCTTCACCCAAAGCATCGGGAACAGTTTACTGCTGAATGCTGCAGTCATGATTACCAGTTTGACAGGGCTGAGCACATGACAACTGCAGTGCATCCCTTGGGGTGCGGGACAGGTGCTAACTGCGTGGTTAGTACTTACAGCAGCATCCTCTGCTAATTTATCAGCACACATGTCACACTAGCATGGCACTTGTGCTCCTTTCACTCAGAATTTACAGAGGGAGAGGTCAGCATGAGAGAGACAGAAATAAGATAAATCTTGTGGTAACAGAGTGGGTTGTTGTTACGTTTGGACTGAAAGATAAAAAGCAGCAGTTTCCAGCAGCTAGGCATGCAAGTGGGAGTTAATGTGATCAGTATGCTGTATGTTAACTGCAACCTTACAAGGCACAGATCTATAAGCCTTAATGTGAACAGGAGGCGACAGCTGCAGACCCTGTATTCTGTATTGTGACTAAAATTGTTATGAATTATTTGCCTTAAGGCTTCTTAAAAGCAAACAAGTAATGGGTTTAGGTACCACCTTTATGATTACCATTTATTAGCCAAAAAAAGTAGCTGAATAGAACCTTTTAGAATACTGTTGGGCCATTTTGTGGTGAATGGGTTAAATTGTTGGTATGCAAGAGTACTGCGTTAAGAAAGGCACAATACTATGGTACAAGCCCAACTGGAGTGTTAGTTGCTTTGTGTTTTAGATGTTTTAAGTAAAGCTAAACATTTAGCTCCCTCTTTTCCTAGAAAGATTCCTTCAAATGTAGCATCAGGAGCTCCAGGACTCCTAGATGGAAAGTCTGGAATCCAGCTTAGGATTTCAGTAACAGCACTATGGCTGAGCCCTGCAGAAGAAAATCCATTTCCTCTGCAGAGCTAACACCATTTACTTAGCCCCATATAGTTCATTGCAAAACTGAAGGGTAACTTCCTGGGTTTTGTCATAGCATAGAATATCTTAACTTTTTGACTGATGAGAGGGGTGTATCTGCCAAGGGTTTAGCCACCAATGTGGCCACCAATAACAGAATCTGAGTTGCGTGGGTATAGTACATTTTAACAGGGGCTTATGTCCCTGTAACTACTGTGGTGCCAAGCCTGTCAGTAACAGCCTGATAGTTCTAGCTACCAGGAAGGCTTCTGATACCTGTAACAAAAGCTTTGTGCAGCAAAGGGACTGGGCTGAGCAATTCCCCTTGGCTTATCCTACAGCTAGTCTTGTTCATTTGTGAACACTGACTCTGGATTACTTATGGACCCCAACAAGAAAAGGACAGTTTCAGTTCCATAGTGAAGGGAGCTGTAGTGCATCTCTAAAGGCAAACCATGGTGCTGTGTCCTAATAGCATAGCTAACTCGGGTAACAAAAAGTAATGATGTGCTGGCTTACTATTCTGTTCACCTGGGCTGTTAGGAGTAACACCTTCATGGAGTGTTGAGCAAACTGGTTCCAAAACAAAAGCTAACTTGGATAGCCGTATGGTACTGCATCAGCTCTACAGTGATGGTAGGTTTGCAATGCAGGTGAGAGCTGTGGTTGCAGTCTAGGGCACAAGAAGCACAAATAGCATTTATTTAGCAATTTGCATTAATCGCAAGAAAGCCAAAATAAATAGCACAAATTTCAGCATGATCTGTACAAGTCTATCAGGGCACTGCATGTTGGGCTTCATTGTCAATGCTGCCTGAGTTAGGTCAGGTCTCTTTATGTGCTGCACTCAAAGCTGCCACTCTAATGGCATACCTTGAGGGAGTCAAGGGCTTTCTTTTAATATTAATAATTATTAATAAACTGTTTCCTAAAAATGAAAACCCCTTCTCTAAACTACAACAGTCCAAATGCACATTAATTACAATTCATACAGTAGAATTCACCTCACTATTTTAATACCCAGTGAATGCTTTTGGTGTGTCAGTTTGTGAGGTAAGTGGATCTGAAAAGATGTTAAGCAAAGTCATTCTAAATTTTCTTTAAAAAAAAGAAAAAGAATCCAAACAATAAAAATTTCCCTTCTAGTCAGATGTCACTATGTAGTTCTAGATAGCTGAAAGGGCTTTGATATAGACAAGTAAACCTGTTTTAGAAGTTGAGAGGAGGGAAGGGACCAAATCAAGATGAGGGACCAAACCAGAGAATGGCAGATTCTTAAATGCAACCTGACTTCTGGTTCTGCCTCAGCTGTGCTACTACTAGGTCACAGCCTTCATCTATACATGAGATTACATTTCAGTTCCACAACCAAAAAAGTCTCAGGAGTTCTTAAGGCTCTGATACATGGCATCGGACGTGAACAGAGCCTCCAACCACACCAAAAATCCTCCAGGTTAAGACAGAAAGAAAACAAATTTTGGAGCATGACACTTCCCTCATGGGAGTCTGTGTTAAGGCCAGCTGTGCTTAACACACTGAAGGTCAGTGGAAATACCTGGATTTACCTCATCCTCTCTACCTTCCCTGCACTCCTTCCCACAGCTAAACAATTGGTACAGTGTTTCTCTACCTACTCAGATGCAGCCCATTTCTCATGTTCAAGCTTGCTCATCCAATGTAAGAGGTCAGAAAGGAATGTCAGGAAACTTAATAAAAAATGAATCTTAACCTGTGTTCAAATAATAGACTACCTTTCCTCATGCATCTGTTGGTGCTTCAAACTTTTTGCTAGCACACAACCATTTGCTGAATGTTATTAGCATTAAGGCTTCTTTCCAGTAGCCTTTTCAGCTGAAGTATTACTATATTAAAGTTTCTGCAGTATGTCTCTTCATTCTCAGATGTAGATTGTACTTGCCAGCAGGCGTTGGGGAGGGGGCAAGAGCAGGGCTAAAAAAGCTGTTGGCAATGAGGTGAAACTGTTTTGGCATGTGGTGTCATCTTGCTTCATAAGCATTAAATGGGTTCTTGGGGGAAAAAGCCTACATAGAGGTAAGTATGTGGGCAAAACTTACAAAACTGAACATTAAATTGCTGAAGCCATACCCTCAAACCTACTCTAGTAGTATTGTAACCATTTAACTTCAGTGGATCAAACACAAATCTTTCACTTTTAATCCATCACAAAAGAGATGCAACTCGGACATTATAGTTTAAGCATGCAACGTCATAGGTAACAAAATTGATTAGATAGCAGTGTATATTAAATAAATCTTTGTGATTAAGTAAAAAATAAATCACAAAAACAATTGCTGAGGAACATGTCTGCAGGCTCAGCTCTACATCTGTTTGTTTTTTTTCTTTTATACATCAGCAGCAGCCAAATTCACAATTGATAGATATTGCACCAGAAAGACATGTGCAGTGAGATTAATGTTTATGATAAAAAAACAGATATGACTTCCATGTGTTACATAAAGTGCCTTTAGAGTTGGTGCAGTTAGAAACAAACAAAAAAAACCATTGTTATTTAGATATCATTAGCAAATGCATACAAATAGGAGACAAAACAGGTCTGTTTTCCATAGTGCCAAATCACACAGTGCCGGGTTTCATTCAAAATGCCTCCATTGCAAACAGCTAAGAGGAAAGGATAATAAAAGAATCGCTATACAAAGATAATGACAGGGTTAAGCATACTTTCCTAAAATGATTAATGCCAACCCTACCCCAAAATGCTTTATAGTACATGTAAATATTACCAATAATGAGGCAATTTCTTTATTGAACATGAGATTTGGCATGCTATGTTATGATTCTCCCTTGACTCATAACTATTCTAGTATTTATACAAAAATGCAACATCCAGTCCATACTTCTGGATACAGAAAAATATTTATGTGCTCAATGAAAAGAGTTGCTCTCAATATATATAGCCCATGTAGAGAAAATTTCCAACATAGCTTTCTCCTACCTACTTTCTTAATGGTTTGGGAACACAAGGCTCAAAATGTGCTTTGAAAAAAATGACACTGGCATCAAGTCTGGTATGAAATTAAGAAAAATGCTCATTTTTCCAAGTATATGGTATTTAATTGTAATGAAATAAAATCTGAAAATGTCTAAATCAATTAAAAAGTAAACATGAGTTGTAATACTATACCTGTAAAATGATTAATTCCATTCATTGTCATTAGAAATTATGTAAAATATTTATTAAGGGCTTTGCCTACAGAGGCACAACATAAATAGAGTAAGTCCTGCTGAAATGTGATCAGAGTTCATGTTAAGCAGTTGGTAATCTGCTGTGGAAACATCAGAAGAGCCACCCACAGACTACACAGTTCAAACTTCTGGATTCAGGCAACTGCGCTGTCGAAGGGTTTGCTCCATGAAGCAACGCTGTGCAACTGTTCTGCCATAATCACTCAGAGTCCATTAGGCAAATGCAAAAGTGCAAGCAGAACTTGCTTGAAGGGGGAAAAAAGTCGATGTTTTAATCCACTCCTTCAAATCCTTGAGCATTTTCAACTGCCATAAGTAGCTTCTCTCGCAAATCTTCAAAAGATTCATAAAGAGGTAAGTCTAGGCGATTAAAGCTGAAATTTAGAAGGAAAAGAATCATTTAATAGTCCATTGAAAAATACACATAATTTTAAAGAAATAGAAAATGTTAAATAATTTGGGGGCCTTAACAAAGGATATATCTTGCTGTCCAAATGGGGGCAATCTCCACAGTGTCCTTTGCAAACCTCACGAATGCTCGTGTTCCCTGCAGGTAGCGTCTGAAGCCAACCCTGCCTGTACCAAAGTGAGTTTACAGAAATAACCATGTGCCTCCTTTCTTTTCAGAGCTGAAAGCGGGAACTTGTTAAAAACCACTTAGGAAAGGAAAAAAACCCAACAGCCCCCCCATTTAGTTGACTGAAAACATTTCCTCTTTGTCAAAAGGCTAGTTTCCTAAGCCTCAGCGAAGATGTTCTGAATTTATAGGACAGACTGTTTACCCTCTGGGGGAAAAGAAGAAGAAACATCCAAAAGAAGGTCTTGAAAAGGTCCTGTAAAAATCTAACAGATAATTGAAACATAAAGAGGACGGGTTACTTTGGAATGTGTTTTTGGCTTTGTTGTTGTTTTTTTTTTTTTAAATAAACCTTTTTATCCTATAGAATGATTATTTTTATGGAAAGATCACCATTCTGGACTAACGTTCTAAAAATTAATTTTCCTATACAGCACACTTTTAAGTTACCTTAAAAAAGCCATATTCTTGATATGCAACAGAGCAAGACAAAGACTTGTATTGAATGCTTTCAACATTTGCAAATTCTATTAACTGGGATTAAATTAAGTCAGCTGGACTATGACTTCACAGTTTTAGTGAATTGTCCAACAATTTATGGCCTTTATGTAGCACAGCTTTCTGTGGCTATGTTTTGTTACATCAGACCATCTGCAGTTCATTGCACCCACTTACTAGGATGAGGAAAAAATAAAATCATGGAAAAGGAGAAAGGGAAAATGATGGTGAGGGTAAAAGCTGCCTGCAGCGTGGTGATACCTGAAGTAGAATCACAGCGCGAAGGGGGGGCAGGGGGGAAAGCATCAACCCCTATTTGTACAAGTGGTAGTCTTGCTTTTCCAACTCAGATATCCTTCAATTTCTTAGTTTTCCAGAAGGAAAGAGGAAGAGATGATAAATTTCTAAGACATATAAAAGGTGGCCATGAATACTATTAGCCTTACAAGGTGAGGCACTGTTTTTCTTTCCAGTATGCCCTGTTAAACTCCTGTTACCCTTTTAACAGTCTCTCTTGGACAGTTTATTGCCTATCCTGTATTTTTCAAAGCCTTCAGACTGACCGAACAGAAAAGAACAGAGCCTATGTTTTAACATTCATAGAAAAATTACTGTAGCGTAAGATGTAATTCCTCTTGCTGTTTTTCCCTATCCCAGTTTTGACAGGAACCACGAAATGGATACTGCTCCCATCCTGCCTTTGCTACTACTCTGCGGTATGATCAAGGAGTCATTGGACTTCTCTGTGACAACGTACCCTTACCTGTAATGTTTGCTTGTCATTTCCTGGGAAATTGTGGGGGGATTATAAAGTTTTCCTAACGTGAAAGGCACTGGGAAGCCATTAGGTGTTTGTGGTGGAATGGACTGCAACCTGAACAAGGGTGCTCAGCCAGCGAGACGGACATGATGACAATCTGTAAGCTCTTGGGACTATCCCCAGCAGGCACTGAGGATCCTACTCCCAAACTCAGCACAACATTTAAGCATTCAGTACACTTTCTGTGCTGTGCTTCACGTGCTCCGATTTGGATCGTGTTGCAAGTACCTTACATGACCAGATTCTTATGTATTTGATATGGGGAAAAGTCTTCTAGCAGAAGGGATTCAAATTACTTCCATTTTGTCTGAATGTCAGTTTAATTGGCCAGTGCTTAAAGCAATTTGCAGGCTACTATGTGGCTTCAAAAATTATAGTTAACATTTGGTATATATGGGTAGCAATTTCTTCAAATGTAGTATAAAATAAAGTGGGGAAAGCTATCTCTTCTCTTTAACATGCAAGCAGTTACTAGAAGAAAAGTCCTGAGTTGAAAGGGTTGCTTGGAATACAATAAAATAGCATTAAAAAGTCTTTATCAGAAAGGCCATGATGGAAAGAGTTTATTTTGGATTCATTTACCTGCATTTATTGCAGAACACTTACACCTACTTATTCTATTAACACAGCCTTTCACACGTCCGTGAGAAGGCAAAACAAGCGTTGTTTAGAAACAGTAAGAGGCAATGGCACCGTGCTGAAGTTGAGCCCTGCTACCTCCTGGAATTTTGCATGTTACATTCTGCAGCTGGGTGTCAGCAGATAAATGCTAACTGTTCTTTGCCTGTTAAATACATACCTACACATACACAGAAACACGTGTGTAGGTTTCAGAGTATCCCAGTTTATAAAAAGCTGTATGATCCAGAGCTAAAATATGTTAGAGATAAGCAGAGTCATCAGTTTCCCCCTTTCTTGGCAGTGTAACAATACAGAAAAGCTATACAATTTTATGCTTCTATGACTTACCATGTGTGAGCTCTGGGCAGTTTATCAGGACTTCCCCATTGCTCTATTGTAAACAGCTGAGGACCATTTGAACCTGGTTGAAAATGAAAATCATATGAAATATAAATTGCTGGACACTACAGAGACTACCCTAAATATTATTTTAAAAATTAAATGTTTGCCTGCATTGTAGGCTAGATATTTCAGCTGGTACAAAATACCTGGTTGAAACTCTCTTACTTAAAACTACATTAAAGGAAATAGGAATGTGTTTGCTTATTTCCAAGTCTCGTTAGCTTGTTAAGTTTATCTAACTGCCTTTGCGTAGAGTATGTATAATGCAAAAGAAGTAAGCTCAGACATTAACACTGAAAAATTAAAGTGCTTGGTTAAACATGCATTCTCCTCTTCTTCAGATGACATGAATATTATTCCCGTTGACAGACGAAATTTTTTCTGTGGGAGCTAGGGGAGCATCTACGTAACACCCCATGGTGTACAGAACTTCACTCCTTCTCAATGTGCCAGTGCTCTTGGCATCCAGAAGGAGAATTCCTACGTGGGGGTCAAAGGCTGGCTATGACTAAATTTCAATCGTGCCCAGGTTTCCTCATTCATGTTCAGGAGCGGTCTGTACAGCCATTCTAGAGGTGAGCATAATCTGCGGGCAGTTGAAAGGAAGCTCACCATAAAGTTCAGCAAATCCATTCATAGGCACACGTGACGTCCCAGTAACAAACTGCAGTAATCGAATCCGCTTTTCAGCATCCATCAGTAAAACGGCCTATTGACAAACACACACAGTCACGGTCTTTTCACTTTCACAGCTGTAGATACCATTGTCAAAAACCAAAACAAAACCTGAGTAAATTATTATTAGACTGTAATAGACATATAACTGAAAGATGTGATACAGGTCACGTACCAGGTCTTCTCTGATTAAATACAGAGCATCCTTTTCCAGCTGCCACTGGGCCACAACAATGAGACATTGCTCTGGCAGCAGCTGGGAGCTACAAGTGCTATTCACCTGCAAGAGGTGGCCTGCCTTCGGTATGATCGGCAGCCCGTACCTGCCCGGAGGTATGGGGCACAGTGGGTGCACTGCAATTGAAAATACGCCCGAGAGGGGGAGTAGAGAAACAGAGATGACAGAAAAGCCTTGAAGATCAGACAGAGAGACCGCAAAGGTTCACAGAAAATCAGATCAGTGTTGCACTACAGCAGGACCTTGGAGTCAAGCCCTTTGGGACCAGGTCACCATTTGGACTGATACAAGTACATAGTCTTTGTGTATACCACCTATGGTCATGAAAATGATATAGGAAACCCAGAAACAAAGTTACACGAAGCTGTAAGATTCCACTATTTTTAAGAAAAACAGACACCCCTTTGAAAAATCTACGACTATTGTGGGAAAAAGTATTTTAGTAGCTTTTCTGGGGACATACACTTTTCATAAAAGTATTTTACTTGACAAATACTGCCAGACACTTTAGATGGATCCAAAGATCTGGACTTCCTATCTTGGGTCTATTTCTAGTAGAGTCTCTAATGAGTACCACAGCTGTCATTTCCAACATACACAGATGTAATCTTCAGCAGTTTTCATGAAGAAAAAGATTTCATAACAGACTCTGCAAAACAATACAGGAGCTTTCACTTTTAGGAATAGTCAGAGAAGCCAAATGTGGTAAACAGCATTACCTTCCAGAACCACTGGATAACGGGATGATTTGGGCAGTAACCATTTTTGTAGATTGTATGTTGTCTCCAGTCATTAACATCAACATCGCCAAGGCCACACATCAGTAACTACAAATGGAAGTAAATTGTTACAGTGTTAATTGAAAATGGTATTGTGTTATCCTGTACACTTTATCAGAAAAACAAGGTTACATTTTCCCTCTGTTGTCTGACCTTTTGAACAGCTAAGCAGTGCAAATATAAATGCAGGCGTAACGGAGAGCTGAGCTTCTCTTCAGGAGAATTCTCATAGAACATTTCATTTTACTGGAGAAACACTGCACACTGTGACATACGTATGCTTTGTGCGACAGCATCTTTTATGGTATGTTGCTCAAAATACGACTGGCGTAGGCATAATGGCATTAATTCAGTAAGCTACGTACATGCTTTTATATGCACATACTCAACCACCTCGCTGAATAATTACAATTTTTTGTGCTTTTATGTGATCAATAGATTTATTAATTAGGGAGAAAAATCTCATTTCCCCACTATAAGCAAAACATCTTTGTCTGCAAAGTCACTTACAATGAGTAAGTAATGAATGATGAGCCTAGAACATAACGCATCTTTTTGTGATGAGCATTACTGATCTGTTGTCTCTGGATATCAGTTAAACAAACTCACCTCTAGTTCATTTTCATCAAAAATTTTAATCAGATCAATAGGAAGAAGTTCTGTGAATTCATAAAGGAAAGCAAAGCAAAGTTAAAATTCTCATACCACGTAAAATTGACTTTATCTAACAGGATTTTTGGCTTCAGGGAACCTAAGTAAACAACAGAGGACGAGGAAGGGTTTAGAAAATGAAATACACAGTTGTTGAAATATGAGTCCATAACTTAAAAAATTAATTACTGAATTATTTCAAGCTCAAATAATTTAAGCTTGAAAGAGAATAGCCTTATTCTCAGAAGGGAAAGATTATATATTCTTATACGAGGTAAAACTGAAATCATAAAACACAAGCATTCCAGAACTTGTGCAGTTACGCAAAGCTCCCCACTCCCTTAACGCAGACACTGATGTATAAGAACTGTCTGCATTAAAAAAAAATTATTTTGTGGAAAAAAAAAGCAGCTGAAGAACCTTACCTCCAAAAAAGCATTCATTTGTTTTTGAACTCTGTTTACAAACCTCCATTGGATGACCAGGCTATAGTAGATAAACAGAAAGACGTAAGCACACTCATTAGAAAACTGCAAACTAAGTGTTTAGAGATTTTAGCAACCCTAATAGTTTCAGTTTCTCATTCACAACTTCAGCCATCTCTCAACCACACTCTGATATTAAGGAAACCGAGCAGCTTTTTGTTAATTGTTCAAATTTATCTTGGGTGACTGATTGAAATGTTGAAAAAAATCAGTGACTACGAACAAGTTATAGTATATATATTTTCATTTTAGCATGCAACACAAACTCTACACATACACTTCCATGTTTTATAGCTATGACTTTTCTACATCACCGAGAACTTTTCAAGGTAACACTATGAGACGATGTGACATTCACCATTTCGTTCCTATGGAGATTAACTCAAGGATGAACACGGCAAAAAGGCTTCAATGCTAACCACCTACAGCATAAATACCTCACAGGTTCTAGAATAATGCTTTAGAAATCCAATTCCTTTCCTACTGAAGCACGTTTCATTACTAATTTGCATGAATATAGCAATTACAAGGCTTTCTCCCCTTTGAAGAGGCACTGATTAAAAATGCAGCAAGTATAAATGAATTTATTATTTTACACACTGGTAGGCAGGGAAACAGAGGAAGCTTAAAGTTAAACCTAAACAGCCCGTTTAGATTTGGCCAATTTTTGATAGCAACGCTGGTACTGACATCATAGATCTGGTCTGTGTAGCTAGCAGAGAAGGGTAACAGGATGATGGCCACGCTGGAGAGCACTTTCTGTCTCATTTTAACTTAGGTGCTTTGAGCCACACTTTGGAGAAGCACGTTTCCTATGTGGGCATTTTGGGAAAACCAAGCAGTTAATTTAATTTTCTCTATTTTTGTTCTTATATTGGCCAATGGTACGTAAACTGAATTTTCAAAGAAGGCATTTACAGCATTAGATACTGTTCATCTGACGGTTACTAGAAAATTCCTAGTGTGATTTTCTCATAATGCTTAAAGAAATAACATTGATTTTTAATTAGCAGCTATTTAGTCAGTTTATCTATTTTCCTTCATTTCTGCAATAAGCATTACATAATAAAATAATGCAAACAAAACACCAGATTTTCTATTAGACAATGATTCTTCATTATCTACATGATATCCCATAAGCACTACATATGCATGAGAAAGCATCATTTGGGTGTATTGTTAAGACACAGAGACAAAAATAAAATTACATTTGTGACTATGCTTGCAATTTGGTGGTTTGGTTGGGGTGGTTTTTTTTTGTGGTTGTTTTTTTTTTTAAGTATAACAACTAGAATAGTTCTATCATAATGGAATTCTGGGGGAAAATGTTTGAAAAATTTTAAGTTGCATTAATCATTTCCAAATCAGAGCACACAAGTATTGACGCTAAAGTTATAAAAATACTGTGACTAGCCATGAAAGAATTACCTAGATGTAAACCTAACTCAGTTCTGAATTTTGGCCCACACATTTTACAAAGAGCTTTTCATTTCTGCACTGTACTGAGGTGATGGAGATAAAAAAAAGTTTATGATGTCTAATATTTTCTATCTGAAAACTGAAAAAAAAAAAAGATATACCTAAAAAATTAGAGCTGACAGTGCAAAGTCACACACAAAGTAACAAAAAAAACATCATAAAAGCAGAAATTTTGTATTGTTCCACCATTACAGCCAAATCACTGTAACACAACATTGCAAATGAGATTAACAAACAAGTACAAAGTTCTCCTCTTAGAGGAATGCTTAAATGTTTAGAGTTCCTGAGTTCTTCCTTGAATGAAAACCACAATGCCAAGCAAATATGAACTTGATAAATTGTACAGACATCCTATTTTCATTATTTTTTCTAGATCCAGTTTAGCACTCAGATCTGCACTCATTCTTGATTTGTATTCTGCGACCTAGCAGTTCATCAGGAAAAACTGTAAGTCCTAGGGTGGAAATTCATCACTACTTTGGAGATCTACAAAGCACAGCTAGTTACCCTAGGCACTTCGGCAATAGAGAGAAGCAGGCATGAAACTGGGCAAAAGTCGTATGCCTACTTTAACATGACAAGTATTGCATCCAAGAGGTGCCACTTCTTTTCATTGAGTAATTTAGATGCAGATGTCTGTCATTCAGAGCAATCCCATCCCTTCTTGAATGTTCCTCATGCCTACCCATCAAGAAAATAGTTTCCTATTACATCACGGACTCCCCTGATAAATGGAATTCATAGAACAGTAAAGGTTAAAATTCAAACTTTCTAAGGATTAGGGTATAAACAAACTATGTTAACAATAAGATTTTCTTTTAAAAGGATCTCTAATGATCTATTGTAGTACAAATGACAGTAATTGCAGTAGGGTAATTCCAAGACAAGTGCAACTGTGCTTTCTTACACTCAGGATAAATTCCGTAAATGTATACATACTCAATATATTCCCTTTTGTTTTCATTTGTTACCATGATTTCTGACCCATTTGGCTTCAGGTCGACTTGATATGTCTGTATTTCAAAAGAAAAAAAACAAAACACAACATGACATTATTTCAGGACACATTTCTCACAAAATCCACTCTCCTTGAGCAGCATTTTACAAGTAGTATCAGAAAATTATTATGCCATAATAGCTAATGAGACATCAAAGCATTCCACATTTAAAGATGGCATCATTAGGAATAAATTATTATATGATCACTTATAAGAATGAATTCTTGTCATTAGCAAGTGAGCAAACCATTCAAAAGCAAACATTTAGTCCAGAACAGCAGGTTCATTTGGGTAAAGAAAACATACATTCCATTTTAATAAGGGTAGAGAAATGCCTTCTAATTTTTCAAAATGCTTGCAAAAAAAGGATTACTTAAAATCCACAGAGAAACTGTTTCATAAAAAAGCCGAAAAGTAGAAAAACAGATTACAGAAATGGTTAAGCACAAATTTGCTAAGGGTTTTTAGTCCAGAACAGCAGGTTCATTTGGGTAAAGAAAACATACATTCCATTTTAATAAGGGTAGAGAAATGCCTTCTAATTTTTCAAAATGCTTGCAAAAAAAGGATTACTTAAAATCCACAGAGAAACTGTTTCATAAAAAAGCCGAAAAGTAGAAAAACAGATTACAGAAATGGTTAAGCACAAATTTGCTAAGGGTGGTGTCACCGTGGAGTATAAGATTGAAAAAAAACAAATTCATTACAGTTCACAAGAAACTACAGCAAGTCCAAATAATGTATTTATTTCTGAAGAAAGTGATTTATGAGTAGGAATTCACAGAATTAATGCTTGGTAGGTACCAGGAAAGCTAGAAGTTGGTAGCTTTTATCAGTTAGTGCCCACACAAAATTGTTACCACACTATGCTCCATAGCTGCAGCTCTGAAGAAGCATTTTTCTGGCTGCAGATCCTGGTGTTTACATACAGCATAGGCACAAGACTGGATTAATTTCTTGTAAAGCATGCGTGCTTGGGGTAGGAGAGAAGGAAAGTCAAGTACTTTGTTGCTTGTAAGTCGTCACTCTGTTCCAGTCAACTTGTTCCATCACGTCAAAACCATGGTTCCAGTGGAAGCAACCAAGACGTGACTCTCTGCACCCACATTCAACCAAGCCTATTTTTAAAGCTGTTACTAATCTTTAATAATTAGATCAGATGTTGTGGTTGAGTAACAGTAAGACAGTAAATTCATTAGCTAATAAATGGAGCTGTAAAAGGAGAAGACTGGAAAGCTCTTTTCAGGACTGGATTAACACTGAATGCCTCAAGAAGGAGAAAAACAGTACAATAGGTCTGTTTGAATAAATATACCTATTACTGTATTGGAAAAAAAAGATGACTATACTATTAAGGAGAAGTAATTAATAGGGAACCTACACACCTCTGAAACAGTAGTTTATTTGTTCCATAAAGACTGGGGAAGACAGTCCAGAACTAATAAGGAAAAGGTCTGCTATACTGTCAAAGTTGAATAGGATAAAGTTATGAAGATCACAGACATGATGGCACAAACAGAAGGCTTTTTGGTGCTTGTTTCTTCCTGCCCACCAGAAGATACAGTGGTTTTGGGAAATAGTATTTCAGAGCCATTAAGAACTTCAGAGGAATACAGACCTTCTCTTTCTCTGCTTTTTGAAGGTAGCTCTCCATCCTTTACACGTTGAAAATACCTACTTTGTATTTCTTACTGACTTGTGAGAACTACCGAAACTGTATTTTTGATTATTAAGTAAGGAAGGGTAATAAGAAGATAAGATTTATTAGAGGTTGCTTGTTTTCCTCTAACTCCAGGAAAGGTTTTGGTGATAAATGAAGTATAAATAAATATAGAAGCTTATAGCAATGCAAACATCGCCCTCTTATGTACACAATGTCCTTGTGGAAGCAGTATCATCTCCTACACAGGTTCCCAAGGGCACTTTATCATAAAGTTTCAGCAGTTTAGCAGTAGATGAGGCGAAACAAGTGCCAAAGTGAGTTAGGGTCCCTTGACTTCTAGTAGTCCCCACAGCGCTGGCAATGGCCAGTGGTACATGCAGAAAAAGCCAATGTAGTCAGTATTTGCCATAACTGCTGCATTGCTGGAAAGCATCCTATACGCATTTGGACTGGTAAGATGTTTCAATCTCTAGCTAGATAAATTCCTCCTCACTATAGCATATCCTGTCCTTGTCCTACTGAGCTTATTCAGGTTTTTCTTCGATAAAATTTGTCCCGGCAATTTTGCATCTCACCAGCAGTATGATGGAAACAATATTATTGTATCTACTACTATTGGCATTTGTCTGTAACTCGGTGAGCTTAAATCTAAGTTGAAACAGAAGTTAGCCAAGAGAACTTCAAATTCATTCATCACTACTGCTGTAGAGCTAGCCAAAACTGCCTTTTCCCTCTGAGATACAGGAAGACTGTGATATCAGCTCAACACCTGGAATTTACATTACGATAATTAGAACAAGAACTGTTATTTCTGTTAATAAACTGGGCACTAAATGAGCACATGAAGCTGGTTACTCATTAGGGGTCCCTCCAACTTGAGCCAAGGCATACTCGGAGTGCAGAACCGTAACACCTGCATGGCTGCAGCATCATCCTGTGGATTCCTACATCAATAAAGACGTAAATCTCTAAAACTATAAATACCTGCCATATTATGAAGAAAAACTCTGGGGGTAAGAAGAGGAGTAGAAATTTCAAGAACAGCAAGACAGATGTTTTTGATGTCTTTATTCCACTCCCCCCCCCAATATATTTTCTTTAAAGAGGATAAAGCCTGCCTCATGTACTCGTACAATTATATCAAGAGAACTTCCCAAAACCCCACACACATACTGTAAGAACATGATAAAATGTTATGTTCAAGACAAAAGAAATCATAAATGCCATTCATTACTTTGTACCCATGATATACAGAAACAACACAGGGAGTGATTTAATAAAAAGATAAACGAAGAAATGAACCAGTGAGCCTCAAGCTGCAGCTATTTCTAACACCAGTTTGAAAAGTTTCCCTGAGAGCATAAACACTCCCAGACAGTCTGCAACTTTTTTTAATTATGCGCCACACTTTAGCAGTGATCCGCTTCTTGCCTATACAGTGCTGACCTGCTGAAGAATGGCATCTAAAAGATTAATCTCTTCTGGAATCAGATGCATCTATTGTAAATTAAACAAAAATCAATCTTGCTGACAATGCCAGAATTAGCTATTTGAGGTATTAAAGAGTTAGGAGAAGAACAGAAAGTATCTCCAAGTAAGTTGATTCATGTTTTGAGTCAGAGAACAAACTTCTGCCAGCAGAAGTGTAAGCTGGCAGTGAAAGGCTATCAATAAGTTGAAGCTAACTCGTTACAGAACAGAAGAGAATGAAAATTACCAATAAACAACCCAGTGTATTACAAAAACTTTTCATCCTGTGGCTTTAATGTTCTCCCTAATTTTCCATGTAACTGATAAACTTATGTTGCTTTAGGAAAGAAGTAATAAGCACTGAGAAGTGGATCAGAATGTTCTTGACAGTACATTGTGTGCATATGTTTTGAAATTTTGAAGTCAGCTTTTAAAAAAGGCACTGTGGTCCACAATACCAGTGGTACCTGGAGCCAAGATATCTAGGTCTAAGAGTTCAATGAAGTGAAGACACTAAAAAAGGGCATAAAAGCCTATAAGCAAATTAATTTAAGAGACACAGGTAGGTATTATTAAGTCCCAATATTGTACAAAATCAGTATGTTTTAGTCCTTACTTGTGTGCGTGCATTACAAAATGGTTCAGGCTCCACAGCTTGTAAATAAATTAAAAAAACCCCCAATCATGGTAGGCAAGTAAGTTCCAAGCTCATGTAAGTAAACTCATGATTTATTTGCCTTCAAGTCCTCAAATTAAATGTAACACATATACTTATATACAAGACATTTATCTGTACCCAAGTTATTTCCACCCAGAAACTGATACAGATCTCTGAAGTTTGTTTTAATAGGATTCTCTGGACTGTAAATCCAAGACAAACTGTACCATAAGCTGTTCTTACAGCTTCTTCTGACAAAATGAGTTATGACTTAGTGGCTAATGAATGATATTCCCACCTACTCACTTCTCAATTGTTAAACATGTATCTAACATTTTTCATTTGTAACGGGGAAAGTTATCCACAGATTGTGAACCTTTTTTAAATAGGCATGCTTGCTTTTGTTGTATCATCTGCTTGCATTATATAAAAGACACTATAAACAAAGCACTTCACTGATTATAATTCTACCACTTTGTCCTTTGAGAACATCTTCAACCTATAAAATCCCAAACAGTCCCAAGCTGAGACTATTTTCTAAGATGGACTGTGTAACACCTTTACTACTCATCTTAGCAAGTATTTTACTCAGCTTCAAGTACTGCTTTTCACGAAGATGTCATATTGCTCACTGACAAGAACATCATTTCCTTCTTTGGCATCCCCAGTCTTAGCCAGTTCAGGAAGAAAGAGAAGTTAATATTCATAGCCTGCCTATACTGATCATTAACATTCAACAGTCCTGATCAAGTTCACAACCATGAGACAGTGCTCAGTATTTAATTACTTTTTGGTGATAACCAATAATAAGATGGAAATACGGACTTTTGGGATAACATTTACATACCTGTCCAAAGTTTTCCTCATCTATGCAAAACATGAGATCCAGCTCTGTAGGGTCATTTTCTAGGATCCACTTCAAAGAGTTGTAGTATTCGCTATCCTACAGCGGATTATAATTAAACGAAGTTTGAAAATGTGAACATTAAATGTAGAGTTTAACTTCAAATTGAACAAATAAAAACATCTAAAACTAGAACTCCAAAGGGACTGGAAAGATCAGAACTCATTTATTTGCACAGCTACTGTAAAGCAGGGTAAGGTGGATTACTTTATTCATATGCATTTTTCTTAGATGCTATATTTTTAGATTCATGTAACTTTTCTTAATTGACTTGTAATTGCATTATTATACAACACAATAAATTGGCTCTACATATCTATTTGGTAAATATGTATATAGTGCTGTGAAATAATTGGTTAGAAAATGTCTTCTTGATAAAACTGTACATTCTTTTCAACACAATTTATATACCACTTCATTACATCGATAATATATTATACAATAACTGATTGCATTGCTATTATTAAAAGCCTTGAAGTTTGCTGAATAAAAGACCCCTCTAATTTCCTGAAAGGGTTGTATCTTCATCATGTATTAGGTTCATAATTGAAGACTGACCCAAGAAAAAAAGAAGGAAAAAAAGTCTGTATAGCTATCACTAAATATTTCCAAGCAAGAGAGCCAAAAACATTAATTTCAAAATAAAGTTAAAACATTATTTACTCATGTATGCTTCAAGAGAAGAATGACCTGCCAAAATTTGGTGACTATGAGATAGTGGGAGCTAGAGGAGAGATTAAGCACTTGAACCAGCATTTGTGTCAGTAACTGAAAGTCTGTAAAACTCTAAAACATCAAAAAGAGTAAACTGCGTTTTATTCTTCTCATACTGAGTATACTTTTGACAAGACCAAGAACAGCTATTGTAGAGCTAAGAATAAGAGGAAAAGGTTTCCCAACTACTTGTAGGAACACAAGAGCCTGAACTTCCTTTTAAGAACCTTCTGGGTATGCATCTCATGAGCTTGGGTTTAAGCTTGTACTTGAGCTCAAGCCATCTCATCGACTGTAATTTTGCCTCTGTGCTGGGCTTGGGAGTCAACTGACGTTGCTGTTGAAGACAGTCTTAGGAAAGTGCAGGATGTGAGTAGCCAGGCTCACAACCAAGTCCTACAAAGGCAACCTGGAGCAGTCTTATCCAGATAAACTATTCTGTATAATGGGTAACAGAGGAAGACGTTAGAAAGGGGAAAAGTAACAGCTCCAAGGTTCTCCAAAATCCATAGCAGTGGAAAAACTGGACAGACCTCAAAAGGTTAAAAAGACAAAACCAAATATCATCCTGCTAACTTAATGGAAACCATTTGTATTTAGCTATTGTACATATCTGAAATGTACTGTGTTTCACTACTGGTACACTACACATCTAGAACGGGCATCTGCGGGATCCTATTTAATGTTGTCCTTCATTTTACAATACCAAGCTAGAGATTACTAACTTGTAAAACAATTTGTTTTTCTCCCAAGGAGTGCCAAACACAAAAGTACTTGGTTGCAATTAACGTTGAAGGTGTCAAAGTAGAGGTGCGGGGAACAAAACCAAAACGGATATAAGGGCATAAGTTGTGCTGCATCCATTAAGTATATTTTGGACAGAACTGTCTATCATTTGACAACCCTTTCTCCTTCCAGCACTGTGGGCAACGTCCCATGTTTCCAGGTCAGAACTAAGCCCTTGCATTCCCCTCTTCCTGCTCCACAGCATGACAAGAAAGCTGTAGGGCTTGGTGGTACTCCTTGTAACAGCGAGAAAGCTGACGCAGTGGAAAATCTGAAACTATAATTAGACATCTTATGTTGCGTTTCTTACTGGCTTACTCATGTCTCTTCCCTTCTCCCTCTCATCACTGTTAGTGCATTGGTACTAAAACAGCTGTCCTAGCAGGGAAAATTTGTTTTATTAAAAAAGTACATACATATGTTTCTAAAGTTATTGCAACTATGACCTTATGTTTTCCACCATGCAGTTTACTGGAATTGTCAGCTCTTATAAATTTCCCCAGAGGAAAAAAACATGTAATTGCTAATGCTGATACAGCTTAAATGTTATCTTACCACTGACTCCATGTCTTTCAGAGTTATTGGTTTTCCCAGCATCATCTTGTAAAAAGGTCTGATGAAGAAGCCTAAAAGAGAGGGAAGAGTGTTACCTCCACTGTTCTGCATTTTCACCTTATGTAAAGATATGACTGCTCAAGGATAATACACCATGATATTTCCTAGTGTGCCAGCAAGAAAGAAACCTCCTGAAAGTAACAGTGCTGTAACTGCTCGAGTTAACACAGCAGGCTCATTTTTTTAGTGAGACACAGAAAGTCCAATTTTTCAATTACAAGAATTATGACATTAATTACCATATGCCATTAAACACCATAACATTAATGGTAGAGAGACACAGAAGCTGGGGAATTGAGCTCAAGGTACCCTAATCCATTTAAAATTGCCATTCTTCTCTCAAAGGAGATGCTAGAAAAACAGGACGGTGAGCTTCCTCTTCTAATGTGCTGCGCTATTGCTAAATAAAATGTAGTCAGTTTATAATGTTTGCTTGCTTGCTTATTGTGGGATTTCAAAGTTTGACAGAAATCATATTTTCTCATTAAATCATTCAGTAATAATTTTACAGATCAAAATGCTGCAATTGACACCCACACAACTGCTTTGGCTGCAGGTTTGCATGGAAATGGCCGATATAAATTTAGTGATTTTCCTTTAGGGACAGTGATTATTTAGCAATGCTGATGCTGCAGTTCTAACACCAGTGGAGAAAGGAGCAAAACTTTATATGAAACGTATTTGTTGAGTAAGACACTATAATTTTTGAATCACCATTCACATCAGGAATGCAATTTCCAACAGTTCCAGTTCCATTACTTTCTCTCAGACTTTGTCTCCAGAACTACTACACTCCAAAGCATATGAATTATTGAAGTGATTTATTTCATTTAATAAAAATCCAGTAACAGTAGCATAGCCATACAGTGTAATAACTCACCATCCAATAGCTTCCCATGATATACTGCCAGACCAGCAACCCGACCAATAAATGTGAAATACGACAGATGATCTTCGTTACAAAGACCTGAATTAGGATTAATCTGAAGTGTATAGTTGTCCCTTTTTTGGGGAAAGAAAAAAAATAAATCTAAATAACCAAGTCTTTAAATAACCAGATATTCAGATATGTTAATAAATAATTTGAGCTTAGGGCCATTTCCTGTTAATTTTTGCTAGAGTGTAACAATGTAATTTATCCATGTGTTCCTCAATAGAAGTATCTGACAGCTTGTGGGTAGGCTGACCTAATCAAAACTGTCTTGCTACGACCATAATGATTATTTGACAAAGGTAACTAAAACTCCTGCTTGTGGGGTAACAGGATTCCACCTGTAGCAAGTGTAAGAGGGCTGTGCTAACTTCTTCAAAGGATAAAAGCCTGGCATCATTGAAAACAGTAGAATTTTGCCATCAGCTTCAGTGGAATGAGAATTTCAGCTAAGCTCTCTCTTCTGCTTTCTGCTGGGCTAGATTATTCACTCTTTCCAGCCAAATTTCAGGGCTTAAAATTTTAGGGTTCTCTTTTGCAGTAGTTGCTTTTAGTTCTTGAAATATCTGAAGGTACTGAAGAGGAATTAAGTATAGGCCCATGGTCCAACCGTACTAGGATAAAGAACGTTTTCTTACTAGCATCTTAAACTGCACTTACTAGAGACCATCTCTGAAATAAGCTTAACCCCTAGGATATTGGAAAAAGCCGTCAAAGAACTAAGATCTTTTAACTGGGTAACAAAGCATTGAGACTCGTGTGAAAGTGTGTGTCACAATAAGACATTAGTGTAAAAGCAGTATTTTTAATTTGCAGTTTATTCTTAATCTGTGAAGAAAGATAGAGGGGTTTTAAGGAATTTTTTTTCTTATATCTTAAAATAACTAGTTAGATTTCTGAACCTAAAATGAAGTAACATTATATTTAAAATATCTACAGTGACCTATATCCCATAAGTGGAAATATTTCAAAACAAAGGTTTATCCAGTGAACTCTATTAACACACAGGCATTCTGCGCTAGTCAACGTTGTTTAAGTTGTGTTTCCCTTCAACAGTAGAACGTGTCTTTTCTGAGACACAAATGTGAGAAAACTCTCATTATGCAGTCTTTGTTCATCTACTTTACAATCTATTCAACACTTATTAGAGAAAGGAGTGAGCTTGATATTGACATAAAAACATCAAAACTACTGTCTGCAATTAAGAAATCCATCCTCACTGTAGTACACAATGTGGAATTACAGCATATTAAAACAAATGTAATTTAAGCAAGAGACTTGCTCTCTCATTTACACTAATGGATTGCTCACAGGTTTTAAAATTGGACAAAAACAAATTTAAACTTATGTTAGGCCACTGCTGTGTAACTACTGAAATGTAAATGAGAAGCTGTTTTGTAAGCTAATTATAAAGGAGCACTATAATTCTGGACAGCAGGTGTTTTATGCTGTAATGGGAGGACATAAAAAGAATCTTTTGTCTGACCACTTCTTTCACTATTACTAGCCTCAAAAATTGCAGTTTTGCTCCAAGTAAGGCAACACTCAATATTGTCTTAATAATGAAAATGGTTTATGAGATTTCAATGACAATTTGAAAGGTTCTCTGAAAAGCAAGTAAGAAATGATAGTACAGAACGGAGAGATTTGACTGGTAAGAGTGCATACTGATGCACCATGAAGGATGATCTAACTACTTTCTAGTGTATCTTTGCCTCTTATGCAAAATTTCATGTATATCCCTTATGAATGGAAATATTTTAATGAACACTTACGTTGCTGAATATTCAAAGAGACCATAATAAGGGTTAAACATCTCCTTGGACAAGAGAAAAAACCATTCTCTGGCCACACCTCCATAGTCAAGTCCTTTTTCTGACTCAAATTCAATCCAAAGCCTGGCTTTTAGTACATCAGGTCTCTTCACAGACATGATTCTTCTGTAGGACTCCTCAAAAATATTATTTCTGTGTAGCTTCATCTCAAATCTGTTTGGTATATCAGCCTATGTGAAAGGAGATGATATTATACTTGTTAGTCTCAATAAATAAGCCTTCAGACAAATTAGCGACCAGTGGTAACAACTAAATGACAGATTAGACATCTGATGTATAAAGTTTCCCCTTATTTTTGTTTTCCAGTGCTCCCCAGGTCTACAGGTTCATAGCATATGGTGAACTAGGTAAGTTCCAGTACAGTGGTTCAGAGATTGCTATGATATTTGACAAAACAATGAAAACAACAAGAAAAGTAACAAACAAACAGAAAAACCCCTGAGAAAACAACTGATATTACTATGCTCTATTTTAAGGGCATTTTAGCTTAAAATGGTAACAAATGCACAAGATTTACGCAACTGCTTTACTCACATATCTGTAAAGGCCAGAACAGTTTCACAACAAGAACACCTACAGTACCATACACACAACAGAACTGAATTGCAAAGATAATAAACAAAAGAGAATTGGGCTGCCAAAATGTTTTAGAAGTTCTGTCTAAATAGGAGGGAGCTAACGCCCATTATGATTTAGCCCAGGGAGCTAGATTCAGAAAAGACAGAAGAGAATCGAGTTAAGAATTTGCAGAAAGAAGACTGGATGAACAGATAAACATGACTGTTACAGCCATGTATAGTTTTCCAGATAAAATTGACTTAAAACAACTGTTTCAGAAGGTTTGCTGTTTCCTGACAACTAAAGTGCTTATTGTGTGCAATCGCTGGTCAAACTCAGGGTGAAAATTCAATGAGCTATCAACAAACAGGTAAAGACATTTGCAAGTCCCTCTTCAAATTATAGTTGGTGTTGCCAAGGCTGTTTACTGTTAATTATGAGTCAATATCACATGCAAGCTAATACTGAATGCTCTCTTACGTTAAAGATGTTACTGAAAATACTTTTTTTCCACAGAACAAGAACTCTAGAAGCTTGTGCCAGATATAGCACAACTGTAGGCTCTGCTCTGCCAACTTGGTCCAGCTCTGCCCTTCAAAGTCCATTGTTGAAGATGAAGGAAAATACCAATCCTCAAGCCTATTTTCAACCTAAAGGCTTGTAAACTAACATACCAATTGGTCTCAGTTGCAATGGGAAACAGTGAATCATTGCTACTTCCCTGCTCGCTCATTACTTTGATTTTGCATTCATATAGAAAACTGTGAGTCTTAAAGATTTGTAAATGTTTTTGTTGAGAAATCAATAAAATTCAAACTTTTCTTCATTTTTTTGGTTCCTACGTAACCCTTTAGAAGTAGCACAATCAAGAAAAATTGGCAAGTATGTTATAGCAAGATACAACACCATGCTGTATCTATGCTTGGGGTAGTCTGTTGTTTCTCCCAGACATAGCATAATTGATTCCAACACAAAGCAGCTTTTTCTACTCACTGGTTTCTTTAACTTCTTCCGGAAATAGTCATATTTCTGTTTGAACTCCCTGGAATATGGAACTGCCTATCAGAGAGAGAATCATAAATACAGATTATTCCAGCTATTTAGCAGTTTGATATTCCAACATTATTTAAACAAAAAGAAATTTAAAGACATGCTCTCTACATATGTATGCCATAGGTCATCTAATAAAACCCACCATGCATGAAGTAGAGGAGCCAAAATTTTCCCATTTCTCTCTGTAATTTATTAAAAGGTATGAAAACTTTTGACCCAGTTCTTCTGTTTATCAACTACTTACCCTCATTTTTTTTCTCCTTTTAGGAACAGAAAAGAGGAAAAACAATTTTTAACACAGACAAAAAAACGTGGAATGTATTGCTGCCATCCATGTGTCTCATTAGGAAACAATGAGCATGCTGCCATATGATACTGAATTTTAAAAAAAAATAGTGCTACTATGAAATACGGATTTGCACAGCTGAAAGAGCTAAGCATTGTTAGGTGCTACGCAAAAGACACAAAATCCAAAGAATTTTGAAAATGAACCTAAGAACAAGTTAAGGGGCTCCAGTAAAGCTATGACATTAACAACAAGCACTGTTTGCCCTCCAAAAAGTGCAGGACACCTTGTATACCTACACAGCAGGGTCAACTAGGCAGGGGAATGTCCATGGCTAGAAATTATCTTTTCAACCCAATG